TAGGTGAAAAAGTCATGCAAAGGACCTAACCGGTCGCCTCAACGAAATCTCACTCGCTCGCTCGCTCGCTACCTGACTCCCACACGCACTCACTCTTTCTTGCTTGCTTGCTTCGGGCCCTACCTTAGAGGAGTCCACCGCGCGCATCCGCGCAGCCGGTCAGAGTAGTGTTAAGACTCACTGTCTCTTTCTGACTCCCTTTCTCTCTCTGCTTTGCCAGTGGCCAGAGTGGCAGCCGTTTAGTACTGAATCTCGTTCTGAGCTCTTCTTTATTTCTGTTGTTCATTGGTACGACCAGCAGGCACGCCGCACGTGGGATATGTGGAACACTGTAGAAAGGAAATGGTGAACAGGCAGAAACACTTCGCAGAATGCAGTCCAAGCCTCCGCTTGATTGGACATCAACCTTGCGCTGGTTCGGCAGACCGTGCGACCTTGATGTTTTGAGATAGGCACTCCTTCGAAATGGCCCACTTTGACGTCTAACGTTTTGCAAGTTGTACAACACCGCATATTACTAATTAAGCGAATCGGGGAAGCTAGACAAACGCAGTAGCAACTCATGGGAGGGCACACCCATCCTGAGAGACATAGGCCGAGGGGCAGCCGAGGAAGGTGGCCCCTGGGCAGTAAGTTCCGGATTCAAAAACTTGCGATTGCAAACTTCATGCAGTAGTATTTTCGACTTTACATACCTCTTATACCTGTCGAAATGGTAAACTGGTCCATCGTTCCTGTGCATAGCGAAATAGGCCCGGTGGAAAACCAACCAAACAGCTCGCCTTCAGCGAGAGAGCTCTGCAGCACGCACGCATGTGTCCCATCATCCCTCGTGCCGAATTCGCACAGTGGAATAAAGCCCAGGCCACATTCCTGCTCACGGCGACTTTGCACGGCAGCAAGTGTATTTACACTGCTACTGGTCAGACTACGACAAGATAACGACCACTAAGCGCTGCTATGCAGTCGAACAACTCGTGTTTCTAGAAATAGGAGCCCACAGACGCACATAAACCAAAAACCGACGAATTTCGCTCTCTCTTCGTGCAAACCACTTAACCCCCACGCAAGAGGCTTTTGCTTGATTGACCTTTCTGGCTCCTGAATACTGCATGTTTGTTTGGAAGTGCACGCACACACAAAGCATTCGGCCGAGGTGCTCGGATGCAGAAATGTTCAATAACGGCAGGGCCGAAGTCTTCTGCGTCCTGTAACGGTGCAGATCGGACGCGGCTGGCCCCATCATGCGAAGCCCCCGGTCGGCTGCAAACAGATTTTGGAGACCGTCGTAGTTACATGTCGGGTCTAACAATCAAGGAGTGCATCGTCACTCTGGGCGCGGCCGATTCAAAAAATGCTTTCTTCAGGCCCAAGCCCTGTTCATGGGAAGTTGTCAGCTGTGTGGGTTGCCGGGGGGCCGCAGCAGAACAGTTCGCCGGTGGCAACAGCAGCGCCCTGGGCGAACTTCTTTTTTCTAGTCTGAGTCTCACGGCCTGTCAGGTGAACCAGGCTTCTTATAGTGCTGCATTCGAAGCCGAGAGGTTGGCTGTACAAGAAACAGCCCGCGAGTAGGAGAATGCAGACCATAGCGTCAAATCGATCGGGCAAAAGTGATCCAGAACGGCAGAGCTCGGTCCCATTAGCGGGACCGGCGTAAAGTTGGGCTGACCTGTACAAGAGAGGCTATGAAAGAACAAGGGAGATCGTGAATGTCAGATTTCAGCAGATAGCAACCGCTGACACTCGCCGCGAGGCCTTCCAAGCCTGAACGCCAACTGTCAAAACCGCACAATCCACTGCAGGTAAATGGTCTCCTTCAAGACCACACCAGCAGCTCTGTTAATTAATCATCGCTTCAAAAGTCAGAAGAACATTGGCTATGAGGTTCGTCCACGCGATACACCTTGCACATAGCAGACGTAGCACAAAGAGGGCTAGCTCGGCGAGGACCCTGGGTCGCCGTGTGTTTCATGCCCTAGTAGCTGAGTCCTGTACCTTAGAGGTGTCTCTCTCTCCCTATATATATATATATATGGTGTATATATATATATATATATGTGATATATGATATATGATATTTGAATGAGATGAATAAATGTACATAAATAAATAAATAAGTATAAATAAATAAATAAATATATATATATATATATATGCATGTGTGTGTGTGTGTGCGCGCTTCTTTGCTTTTGTTTCTCTGGTTATTGACTGATCGTTTGCAAATGCGTTGTCTATACAGTTCTACTGACAAAGTCTATTTGCACTTGTTGATGAACGTGTATACCTATGTATCTCTTCATGTGCGGCTTAACCTACCTATGTAGAACTTTGATCTTGCGAAGTCCTAAACCCTGAAGCCTACACCCTAAATCCTAAAGCCTACACCCTAACTCCTAACCCCTAAACCCTAAAGCCTACACCCTAACCCCTAAGCCGTCCTGACAAGCGGACCCCTGGCCTCCACATCGTCTTCGACACGGAAGGACCGGAGTGGAGGCAGTCGAATCTCAGGGCTCGGGCTTGGAGCCGAGGCGCATCGCATTTGGGGTTTAAGGGTTTAGTTTAGGGCTTAAAAGTTTAAGGGTTTAGGGTTAAAGGGTTTAGTTTAGGGTCTATAGGGTTTTCCCCTTTAGGGTTTTAAGGTTTAGTGTTGGGGGGTTCTACACACCCTTTTTGGAGGAGCATTTCGGCGCTCACACTCGGAGAACCCAGGCGATGCATGTGATTCACGAGTCCATGCAGGGGGTTTAGGGTTTAGGGGTCCTTTTTGCAAAACTCGGAATCTTCGGCATGAGAGGGCGTGCGGAAGTTCGTCCGAGTTTGCAAAGCTCTGCGAAAAACCGACGGTTGGCTAGCAAGCCAGCTTTGGACCTTGAGAATGCTGAGGCTAGTGGCCTCATCGCCAAGAAAAATGTTTTGCAGGTGGTTCTACGATGATGGGAACCAATTAGATGGGGTAATTCAAACACAAACTACTCAAACCCCGAAGCCAATTCACAGCAGGGTTTGTGTTCTCTGACACTGAGGGGCCGGGGCTAGCCATAAGGGCCATGCGAGACTTTCAAGGACACCCATCAGGCTGACCATAGAAGGCTTTTGTGGACGCTCACCGGATGTGGAGACAATTACAGCACCAGCTAGCGGATAGTCACATCTGTGGACGGACGGTGGAGGCTGAGCACCAGCAGTGCCGGTGTAGCAGTGCATCCCGGAAAGTACACCGTCAGCCAACCCAGGCACCCAGACCTCTCATGACCTGAACGGCGGACACTCAGCCCTAACCCCCCAGGTACCTACTATATAGGGTACTAGAGCCCCTGGGCCCTATGTAGTAGGTATCTGGAGGGTTAGGGCAGGTCCCAAGCCAAAGCACGCATCTGTCGACCAGAGCGACGTGGACCTTGGGCTGCTCCGAAGGAGCCCAAGTGCCTACATCTCTATACTCTCTGTCCCTGTGGCCCAACAGGGTGGCTTTCAGGGAAGGGGCCGGAGTGGCAGGTTCTGTATTTGCAGTAAGGCTCTTCTAGTGGCTGAGGGGATTTGTTCGCCGATGGTGCAAAAAGTGTACACTTCTAGTGCTTTGGCGGGCAGGGTTCAGCCCTCTCCAGTTTAGGCTAGCAGGGCCTGAGGAGAACTCAAACATGCAAACCGCAAAAGCCAAGGTTTGCTGCACATGCGGCACAAAATTGGATTTTGGGGTATCTGACAAGTATATCTAGAACAAGGAAAGTGGTAAATAGTCGCAGAGCACGCTGGGAGCTTATGTAACATCCCCAGCCCGCATACGGGAGTTGCAGGGAAAAAGGCAGAGCCCCTACAGTTCTTATGTTTTAGGACCCCTATACAGGAACCCCTCATTCTCTGAAACTTCTACGTATGCCAATCAACGTAGCAGAGCGGCTTTGTCTCATCACCCGGAGCAGCTCGAGTCTGCCTAGAAGCGCCTTAGTTTTTTTTTCTCTCTCTTTCTCTCCCTCTCGAGCTCGCGCTTGTCTGAATGCTTGTGGGCTTCAAAGGTTGTGAACTTCAACCAAAACCCTAAACCCTTTTTGCAACGGTCTGGTTAAACCCTAAACCCTAAAGCACACTCACGCTCTGTGCCCTGGAACCCTGGTCTCGGTGTAGCAAAGGGGCAGAGGTAAAATAGGCTCGGAGCGATCAGATTCACCAGGGCGGAAACGAAGCTTCCAGACAGGTCCACCTCGAGTCTGGGAGTTGAGGCACCCCACACATACATTACATTTTATTACATTACCTTTGCATTACCTTCCCATTACATTTACATTTCCATTTACATTACAATTACGTTACATTTACGTTACATTACACTACATTACATTGCATTACAATTACATTACATTACATACATGCATGCATGCATGCATGCATAGACGTACATGTATATATATATATATATACAAAAAATGTGTATGTATGTATGTATGTATGTATGTATGTATATATATATATATATATTTGTGTGCGGGCGTGTCTGTGCGTATACATCTTATATATGCAGGCAGCGAGACAAAGAGAGAGAGAAGGAGAGAGAGAGAGAGAGAGAGAGAGAGAGAGAGAGCGAGAGACAGAGACAGAGACAGGGGAAGAGCGAGAGCGAGAGCGAGAGGGAGGAAGAGAGAGGGAGAGGGAGAGATAGAGAGAGACCGAGATTGAAGGGCAACTGGACTCAGATGAGATGTTCTCCAATGCTGTACACCTCATGATGGAACAGCCAAGCTCTGGCCCGAAAAGGGTATCTGCCAGGACCACAAGAATGCTTGTCAGAATGCTGCCCAGGGCTGTCTCCCACTCGCATCTCGGTAGTAAGGGTTTGGGCCTACCCCCCCTTGGCCCTCGGCCCTTTAAGCACGATATGACATGTCGCTGTGTATGTTGCCGCTGCGAAATACACACTAATATGCACATCCACACCACAAGAAGATCGATGAAACCAAACAGAGCAGCAGGCCAGGAGTCCAAGTGTCCTAGAGTCCGAGAGGTCAAATCCTGAGCCGACGAGCCGCAGCAGTCTGAAAGCCCTTGCCACTGTAGAAGGCGATGGCCAGAACAAAGGGAAGCAGGATGGCGATGGCACTTGCCCAACCCCGGGTGATTCCAATGCCTCACCGGGCTTGCGGGCAGCATGTCTGTGCCGCAAGAGTCATAACACGGCTTGGGCCACGCCATCCTAGCTGTGCGATTGAAGACGCCACTGTAACCAGGCTCGCAGACGGAATCCTTCCCTGGAACTCTTGCAACATGAAATTTTGGCTTCGGTTCTCCGTGGCTGGCCGGGCACCTTCCTGCAGGTTGTAGCGCATGAGGATGCAGAAGATGGGGACGGACGCCAGGTTCGCTGAGATGGAATATGCCTGCGCCACAGGCACTGTTAGGATCTGACAGATACACACTACGTACAACATACAGACAGGCATACGATATACCCAAAGTTACTAAGCCATCTACTGCACTCGAATACATTTTATCATATTATTGCACTAAATATATGTTCTTCATGGGTATTGTGTTATGGTGTTACACTATGGTACTCCCTCGCGGCTCTCCTGGATCGTCGATTTCGCCACAAGTCGCAGGATCTTCGGAGCCTCGGGCGATGTATTCTCAAACAGATGGTCTCGGACCAGTTGGCGCAGGGCTAAGGCCGAAGAGAGATCTGCTGGAAAGCCTAAGACCACGAGACTCAAACCAAAGAGCACATCTGGCTTGCATCTGGACTCAGATGCGCGGATGGGATTTTTCAGCCTAAACCTTAAAACCTCAAACCCTATCGATTTCGGAGAAGAACCTTGAACCGTCACTCCGACTCCTGACTCACAGCACCCGATCCCTGACAGCTCCTCCGGTGCAATGTGCTGAAGTTCTGAGAGCAAGGTGTTGCTTGAGTTGAAGAACCTCAGCCGTAGCTCGTGGTCGAGGGGAAGAAGATTTTCTGAAGTACGGTAAACATGAAATTTCGGGCCTGTGGCGGGATTTTGTTCAAGACCCGTTATCCGGCGGGAATGGCAAAGAAAATCGCATGCAGCTATGCCAAGCGATTTTGAATCAGGTTTGACAGTAAACAACTTCGGTCATGTAGAACTAGGTAGCACTATAGACCATGCAGCAACCGTTGCCGATGCTAACTTGCGAATACCGGACCTACCACAAGCTGCACACACCTCTACATGGTACGCTACGCTTTGGCTGGGGTCCTTGAAGGGTTCCATTGCAGGGTCCTTCTGAAAAGGCTTCCAGCATTAAGGTTTTGTACTGGGAGTTCTGTTAAAACCAGCTGCACCGACTTCAAACACTGTCTATCACCTAGCTTCACGTTTCGACTGCCTTGGTGCAAGATCTGGTTCGCGAGAGAATGTGCAGAAGTTGGAGTCACTTCTCCTCACGCCGAGGAGCGGTTCGAATGCCATACCTCCCAGAAGGCCGACCTGTGGGTCTTTACAGCTTTGGGTTTTTTTTGACACCTTTTTCCTCCTGTTTACAGTCGGAGAGCCCACAGGGGGCAGGCATGTTTAGAATCCCTCTCACTGAGTAGGGTTTAGGGTTTAGGGTTTACTTCTTGCCTTCAACTGGTGGGTTTAGGGACTACTTCTTGCCTTCAACTGGTGGGTTTAGGGCCTACTTCTTGCCTTCAACTGGTGGGTTTAGGGTTTAGGGAACTGCTCTTTTTAGGGTTTAGGGAACTGCTATTTCCAGACTCTACTATCCACAACCGCCCCAGTGGCCAGGACGTAGGCAATCGTTGTGACCATCAGCACACCAGTGATTGTCCTGCAAAGGACTAATTCAATAACTCATTATATACTGCAGGGTTTGCAAGGGGCTACTACCCACAGCAGCCTTGACAATGACATCTGCGCCACCAACTTTACCAGCACCAACAACCAACACCGGCAGCAACTGGTCCCACGCATGAATGTAGTCCCACTTCAGATGGGTTAAAGAAGACATGTCTTCAGACCTTTCTTGTCACAGATCGCAGAGCTCGGGTCTTGCAATGATGAGTCTGGGCTAGACCGTCGGAGGACCTTTAGGTAAACAACCACTACATGTGGAGCGCTTTGAAATGCACCCCTATTCCCTATTCCGGCATGTCCTCATAGGCCGCACGTGCGTTTTCTTCTCGCACACCCATGAAGGCAAAGTGGAGACGAACATGAAGTTGAATAGTACAGTTCCTCGTCAGGGATTGTGAGATCATGCCTTCGCCTTAGCGACACTTATGCATACCCAAGGTCTGAGAGTGCTAATAGTGACTCTACAACCCCTTCAAATCCCGAGCTTTTTCTATCCATTCCCAAGGTAGCCACGAAACCCTAACCTCAAAAACCCTTATTGCACCCATTTTCATTCCTGAGGTTGCCATGATCAGATGTCTACTACCACTGAGGAGCTTGGGGACTGGGCTTGGTCTTCTTCCATGCCCTTTGAGCAGGCCGAACTTATATGGTACCTTGATATGGCTTATAGGGTTTAGGGTTGTGCCCTTATGGGAACCTACCACCGCCTATGGGACAAGATTTTTCGAATGCAGACGGCCTCCTAGGTGGCGGAAGGAAGAGCCAACCGTCGGAACGCGCTCTTCCTTGCAGGCTGCAGAATGCAAACCGTGTGATGGGAGGCATGGTAGAGCAGCCGCAGTTGCAGCAGACCTTGTCAAGCAGTAGTATTGATTTGCAGCTGGGGTTGTAGTGGTGCTGGTGGCGGTGGTGGTGGTACGGTTCGAGAAGTATAGCCCTCAGCTCTTTGACTGGGTGCAGCGGCCACGCAAGAGCTGCTGCTTGCGCATAAGTTTTTTGGGATCTGCGGCATTTATATCCTCCCCTCTGCGGTGTGCATCTGAGACCTCACGCTCAAAGAGTATGGCTGGGCTGTTGCCTGTCGTAATGTAGGGGCCCAAATAGTTACCAATACTATTTTGGGTGTTCCTTAGTATAAATATAGTATAATGGGCCCCAAAAACCTATTCTAATTATTAAGGCCCTTATATTATGTGTCTTTGGAGGCCTCCGGATCCTAAGCCACCAGAACTTCTTCAAAGCCAACCACATGGGGTCCAACAATACGAGGATTTGTC